CCCAATTACACACTGGAAAGAAGAGGTGTGTGGGAAATTTCTTTATAAACGAGTGGTTGCGAAAAATTGCGCATAACATTGATGCTAGCAGTAACAAGTGATAGGGAAAAATTGCTGTCATTATTAATATTGAGAAAAAAACCATTCTGAAATCCGAAAGACTTCCCGAATGACGTCTTAGTTAGGGCACAACAAAAAGGATGGATAATAGAAAAGCTTATGATGGAATGGTTAAGACAAGTATGGAGTCGTAGACCAGGAACACACATGGAAAACGATCCCTGAAAACAATATTATAACATCATTTAAGAAGTTTTGTATAACCAATGCTTTGGACAGATCCGAAGATGACGTAATATGGGCAGAAAATGATACATAAAAATGTACATATCGTTCTAAAACCCTTAACAGTGTTAATTACACACTGGAAAGAAGAGGTGTGTGGGAAATTTCCTTAGAAACGAGTGGTTGCGAAAAATTGCGCATAACATTGATGCTATCAGTAACAAGTGATAGGGAAAAATTGCTGTTATTACTAATATTGAGAAAAAAAACATTCTGAAATCCGAAAGACTTCCCGAATGACGTCTTAGTTAGGGCACAACAAAAAGGATGGATAATAGAAAAGCTTATGATGGAATGGTTAAGACAAGTATGGAGTCGTAGACCAGGAACACACATGCAAAACGATCCCTGAAAACAATATCATAACATCATTTAAGAAGTTTTGTATAACCAATGCTTTGGACAGATCCGAAGATGACGTAATATGGGCAGAAAATGATACATAAAAATGTAAATATCGTTCTAAAACCCTTAACAGTGTTATTGTTATAATGCGATTTTATTTTACTATTTTCCAAATCGCAACTATACGACTGCGAATCTACTCCGCACTCGATTGTAATCCGCATTTGATTTTAGAGCATATAAAATTTGTAATAAGGGTGCGGATTAGATTCGAGAAAATACGGTAATAACACGATTCTCCGACTTTTATCCAACTACCATATTAAGAACGAAGATATTCTGAAAGAATGTGGTGTATACTCAATTGGATGTTCCAATTGTAACTCAGTTTATGTTGGGCAAACAGGGCGTAAATTGGAAACTCGTATTTGAGAGCACAAAACTAAAGATAATTCTAATGTATTTAAACATCACATTGAAACAGGCCACAAGATAGATTACAATAATACAAAACTTCTACATAAATGTGAAAAAGGCTCGATCTGCTGGAGAATTTAAAAATTAACAAACACAAAAATAAGAACAACTTCGAATTATTAAATGATCAGATTCAATTATATAATAAACCTACTTTTATGTCTCTAAGAGATCACAAAACATTTATATAACATGTTTATTCGCCCGGGTAGTTTACTGCAGGTTTAGCCTTTGTTCTTGTCTCGCTGTCGACATTTTTTCGTTTGTGACAAAATTTTTATTGTAATTTGATGTCGTACATTAATTTTATACTTAAAGTTATATTGTGAATGTTTTTGTTGCGATCGTTTTTTAAAATTTTAACGTATTCATATCTCTTGAAGAAAAGTTTTTCTTCAAGATAATGTTTTTCGTTTGAGTTTTTCGCTTTTCATGTATATACTGCTTTGAAATTTTGACTGTAAGTTTTTTAAACTTAATATGTTTTTCGTTTTTGCTAGTTTCGACTGAAGATGAGGGTGTAACCTCGAAACTAGTCTCAATATAAATTTAATAAAAGCAAGTAAAAAGTTTTTTCTAGTATTTTTTAATTGTAGATATGAGTTCTTTTTAGACAGAATTAGACAATGCGTTACTTAACTTTGGTGATGTCAATGTGATACATAAAATTGCTTAATTTTTATGGTTTTTTTTAATGAATTAACTTTTGGATAACTTTTTAGCTATAAAAATTGTATACTCCAATTGTAATCCTATAAATTATTTGTTTAGTCAATGATTGATAGCTATTAATGAATTGAATGTCAACCTCAGCATTTATTGTAATCAGGAATTAACGTTTTTAGTTTCTATTTACTAAAATAAATAGTAGGTGTAATAAATTTTGAATTTTTTTAACTTTGAGTAAGTTGTCAAAATTCGCTTATCTTATTATTAGCTAATTGGAAAGACATTTACCCTGCTTAATATCTCATTTGAAAGGCTACAAAACAGAGAAGTTTTTAACATAATTTGTAAGCTAAATGTATTATTAAAATTATTTATTATTTTTAAACAATCGAAATATTTAAAATATTAAAATATTAAACTGTAGCCTATCCAGATAAGTCAATATGATGCCAAAGAAACTATTATTAAACTCTAAATTCCAAAATTTGTAGGAGAATATACTGAAAATGTACAAAAACCAAAAAAATTAAAATAATTCCTAAACTATTCAACTTTGTATAAGGCATATTTGGCTTAATCAATTGCAAATGAGCTCCCTGTATATTGTTTTGTGCAGTTATAATAATATTGATTTAAATCATAATTCATCCTTCTTGTTGCTGATAATAATTATTTCAAAATCATGCATTTTCTATGGTGGACCATATATTGGAAAGGATTAAAATGAATTACCTAAAAATTGTAACCTATCTTTTGCCATGGCAAGATTACTTTTCATTTTTTCGTGTAGACGTTGTGCTCTTTCCCATACCTCTCCACGTCCACCCCAACATTGAACAGCAATTCCAAGTTCCAATTCTGTGATTCCTTTCCGATAAAGTTCAATTGCCAAATCTTTTTGACCTTGAAAAGAATAAAATTTAAATAATTTTCTTATAAATCACTTTCTAATACTTCTAGCATGTATCATACTTGAAACCCACCTGTGATAAACAAAATCTATGAATAGATTAAATTTAAAATGATTCATTGCTATAACCTTTTTTGTAAAAATAAAATTTTTGAAATTACCTTCATTTTCTTCATCAATTTTAAGTGCTTTAGAAATATACTCAAAAGCTCTCCGGTGATGATGTTTTTGTTTAGCAAGTAAAGGATCTCCAGGACCAGGCCCAGAGTTTCTTTGTTGAGCTTGAGCCATATCTTCTTCTGCTGCTACAATAACACCTTCACCTTCAACATTTTCAAGTCGATTTATCGCGACCTCGTTGCCTTTCTTGTACTTGACCAAATAATTGGATGAACTGCAGTAAATAAAACGTAGTATGACGAATACTTGGTAGAGGAGCGATCGAAGTACGTTGAATAAGAATATAATCGGGAATGAGACGATGCATAAGTTTCGTTTATGAACTGACGTCGTGTCCGTGTAGGACGTGAACATTAAATGTCTACCCTGGTTGTCCGCGTCGTTCTTTCTCGACTTTTTCGGCGATTTTGCGTTTTGTGTTTTGCGGACCATTCGGAGGCCATAACAAAGCAGACGGGCATTACATCAATTTTCCCATTGTGTTTCAGACTATCTATCGTACCTATATTCACGACGGTTTTCCACAACAAATAATCGAAATTAAAAACTAACTTCATGTTGTCTTTTTGAATTTAAAAAAAATTGCGGGAAATACACAATAATATCAAAAAAATTAATAATACTTTAATTATTTTGCTTTAATCGATTTATTTCTTAACAATTTATTGTTACTTGAGGCTTTAAATATACCTGGGTTTATTGGGAACATCTATTTTTGTGCTAGCTTTAAAAATTATGCAATTCTTGGGTTTTAAATACATCTCTTTTATGTATCAAACCAGATTCGAATTTGCTCTATTTATAGCGTAGTTAAGCAATGTTATTATAATGTTTAATAAATCAACTACAAAACTAAATTAGTTTTAGTGTAAAAATAATATCCTTGAAATGATAAGACAAAATTTAAAACTTGCATTAAATCCACGCAATGCAAAAACACTTTTTAATGTATTTTATCATTATCAGTTTAAAGTGTATCATTTCGTGGATGCTGCACTAAATGTTCACTGTATCTAAATGAGCTGGTTAGATTGAGAGAGAGACGAACTAAAACTCGTCTTATTTGTAAAAGAATAACAAAAAATGGTGATTGTGGATAATATAGTGGGGAAATTATACCCGCTTGTGATAAACGAAGGCATTAAAGGTATATTTTTAAGGTTCATTTGTGTTTTGAACTCGATAATCTCGTTTTATTAAGATAACGTTTTGACATCGATTACGTTTAAATTAACGATATAAAAGCAAATCATTAAATATTTATGCTCCTACATTAACTATTAAGCTCATTTTTTGTTTGTAATAATAATAAGGTGCTCTAAAATTAATTTAATTAAGAAATTTAGAAAAATAGATTTATTGATTTTTGTAAGCGCCATCTACCATAATAAACAGAACTATAATAAACCCGCTAAATTTAAACTTATTTATTATTTATTAACAGAACATGAAATAAACGAATGGAGATTATTAGGACAAGAAAAGGACAGTGTAATTCTTTTTAGTTGGGTTGAGAAAGGTGAAAATTTACCCCCATCAACTCACATAGGAACATATAAATGCGCAGAAAATGTGTTCAAAAAAATCTTTTCTTTACCCAAAATCGAAAATGTTATTCAAGCAACCATAAACACCGATCATACACTATTAGGGTATGTAATAAAAACTACCAAAGAAGACGACGAGGTTGTTTATCGTCCATTTTTGGTTAAAATCGGGGAAAACTGCGAAGAACCAAGCTGCGATTTAAAAATCGAAAGAACCAAGCAAGTTATGATACAATTTTTATATTACAAAAGATCGATTCTAAATGAGAATCCCACGGAAAAGTTATTAGTTTTTATTCATGAAGAATGTATAATGCAGTATACTTTAACAAACGAAATCATCAAAATGGTATTAAATCCAGATAAATTTCATGTTGAGACGATGGTTAAAATTTTTTTATGGGCCCAATGGGACGCCGTTCATCAAACGCTTTATTACATTCATCATAGAAAACCTATAAGAAGTTTTGTTGATGGGGAAGATTCAGATTTTCATGTTTGTAGTCAAAATAGTAATACATCACCAACTTTATCTGGGATGCAATTCCATGATGATTTACCATACGAATCAGTTGTAAGAAGTTAATTCTTAGATTTAACTTTTTTTAATTCATTTCTTTTTTTAAGTTGAATATACCGTTAAATTTACCACATTTATCATTTGCTGAAACAACTTGTAATTTGTATGAAGATGACACCGTTCCTTTGCGTATTCATAATTGTTCATTGGATTTAATTGTTTTAACAGATCCGGATGGAGGAGTCTGTGTTTGTCATCATTATTTATACCAGGTAAAAGTAGAGAGCTTTATATAGAGATTTATGGATGAGATCCATTGTAACCTAAGTTTAGAGCAAATTTAGGTCCTTAGTATTGCTCAAAGGTCTTGTTATTTTATGTCGGTAGGTGTCAAAAGAGCTTTACCGAAAATTTTGTGTCTTAGGCAGCCTCTGGTGACGCAATTACACAGTATATGTTCAGCCGGTTTTGACTCGTCGTTGCAAAGTCGACAAGTTTGATCCTCAGCTTGTCCAATGTGGAAGAGGTGGTATTTTAGGGGCGCATGGCTGCTCAGAAAATCTGAGAACGTCCTTAAATTCCTCTTTGGAAGTTCTTTCCAGCGTAAGGCTACCTTTGAGGCTTCCCAACTGTTGATTACTTGTGTTAGGTGGTTTTTTTGTAGTCCACATCCGGGTTGGGGTCCAATAAAAGGCGTTTTCGCTGCCTCTTTGACCAGCTTGTCCGCATTTTCATTGCCCTCAATGTCTTTGTGACCTGGAACCTACATAGAGTAACAACATTCCCCCTGGCGAGTTTTCTTAGGTTGCTGGTACACTCTCTGGTCAGTGCGGAGACACACGTGTAGGCCTGAATTGCCTTAGAACGGTGCAGAACGAACCAGTGCAGAAATTTATAGCAAATACTTTTGCTTGAAGTATTTGCTATACCCCATGTCTACTCCGGATCCAACTGTCTTTGAAACATCCCTGTAGCAAGCAAGGGCTCCTCTTTTTAGTTAAGGCCAATCATCCCTGCTTCTAAATATGACCTCATTATCCGTTTTAATTTCAATCAAGTGATTTAGACATGGGTCCTTGAGAATTTCGAGGTGTCCTCTGAGGTTACTCTGCATCAGCTTAAGTGAACAGCTTGTTTTCAGTGAAAGTTGCCACCTGTTGTATATATAAATGAAGTGGTGTGAGACCGAGTAGGGCTTCAAGTGCGTTGTCCGACGGCAAGATTTCATTGCACCCGTTATATTAAGACATGCTAACCCCTGGATTTGTGCCAGCTGTTGTTGTGCTGTCTTATGATTTGTTTTTGGCCACCAAACCAGTGAGGCATAGGCTTTTTCCTCACCTTGTCTATATGGGAGTTCCAGTTTAATATACTGCTTAGTATTACCCCTAGGTATTTAACTTCTGTTTTTTTTTCAGCCTGTTAAATCTTCTTATAAACTTGAAGATGAAGATGAATGTCCGGTTAATTTTGCTTATTCAGTAACAGTTCTTCACCACGGATGTATAATTCATTGTGTTATACCAGGAATTCCTTGGAAACAAGCTAAATGCATAAGACCTTTATTTATGTTTTATGGTTAATAATTACTACAACATTAATTTACCAATACTAATGAATTTGTTTAATTTTTTAAGGTGATCACATGTTAGTATCAATTCCAAGTCTTTGTATACATCTTTTAGACATTGGATTTCTTCACGAACCATGTTGCCACATAGTTTTAAACGATAACAACACTCCGAGTATGGATTTAAATAAAATCTCCTTGACCACAATAAGAGGTTTAGGTGATTCTAATTTTGCATTGAACGTGCCAACTTTAGACATAATCGATTTTCACCTACCCACAAAAGAACTAGTCGATACTTTTAAATCAATAAATTCCCTGGAAAATCGTTTATCAATTTTGCATTATTTAATAGTTCACCGAAATGAAGCTGAAGCGGTCGTCGAATTGGTACAGTTTTATATCGAACAACAAATTATTGTAGGAACACCGCAAATTTTTAAAGAATTTTTAATTGGTAATTGTTACGCCTCCGTTTGTCGTACTTTACCAAGTGATGCCAACCAATTAATTGAGTTACTTCCGGTTACAACTCAAGCGACTGGTTGCGATGTGGAAGTTGAAGTTAACGAAAAAGTTAGAGTTTGTATCTCTCAAGATGCTCTATGGAACGCTTCAATGATGTTGCTATCGCCGCAGCAAAGAGTCGTTCCTTATAGAGTTGATATTTGGGTTAAATTGTGGGAAAGACTATTGAAAAATGCCAAATCAAAACAAAAGTTTCGGCCTGCTCAAGTTGCTGAAAAGTTACTTGTATCTTTAGTTTGTTATCAAGTAAGGTTGAATTATAAAAGAAGGTATATGTTGAAAAGTTATTTTTAGCCTGAAGCTTTATCTAGATCAACAACACCAATGTCGCCGATTCCTTCAAGCAACTTAACCAATTTACCTAAAGATATAGCTTCAATAAAAAATCCTGTGGGTTCTTTACCATTTTATGAAGTTGAAAGTTGTACAGCAAGTAAACAAGAACATATTATTTCAGTTGTAATGCGGTTTTAAAGATTTTTTTGTAGAATATTAATTTTCTTTTTGTAGAATTTGCGCGAATTAAGTATGCATTTACTTAAACAATCAACGGATAATAAAATAAGCCGGTTCCAATGGCAATCACAAACTCCAATGCATGTTCACGCAGTAGCTACAAGATATGTTGGTGCTCAACTCGAACAATCTCGAAATCTTTGTCAAATTTTATGTAAAGCATGCGTTAAAGCTTTATGTACCGAAGAAAAAGGATTTTTATTTATGTGAGAAATTTAACTAAAATAATAAATAATTTAAAAGTTGTTTAAAAATTTTTTAGTGATCAACTTCCGGAAGAATTACGTTTTATTCTTTTTACAACTCTAGAACAATATTGTTTGGCTATTGAATCGATTGCTTTTCCACTACCTTTGGGATTTACATCGTTTTTTACATTTCTGGGTTACAGAACACTAGAATATGACATTTTCTTACAATATGTACAAAGACATGTTTTTGAATTGCAAATTGATGTTATGAAAATTATTATGACTGGTAATGAAATTAATTTAAAAAGTAGTTTCTTGTATATCCAAGTAGCGCCAGGTTGCTGTATATTTTCATTAAGATAAAAGTGGAATTAACACTAGACCTAGAATTAGAAACATTCGGATTTAGCAATGCGTCTTTAAAGACGTGTAAACCCGAATGTTCCTAGTTAGTTTTATTTTCAGTTCAATAGTTCTAGTGATAGTGCTAGTGTAAAACTAGAACTAACACTAGACCTAGAAACATTTGGATTTAGCCGCATGTCTCTAAAGACGGCTAAACCCGAATGATTCTAGTTCTAGGTCTTGTGTTGGTTCTAGTGATAGTGCTAGTGTAAAACTAGAACTAACACTAGACCTAGAA